TTAACTTTTATATATTTTTATATATTTAAAATAAAAAGCAACTCTTAAGGATATTAATTAGAAAACCCAATGTTAAAAAAGTAAAAGTTTTTCCTCAAAAAAAATTTTAAAATTGTGAGAGAAAAAGTAAGTTTTTCCACCAACATCAATGATGCACCTGGTTTTTTCACCAGTGCTTTTGAGTCTACTAAGCCATTAATTTGCCAAGTAGTTTACGTCCATGGTTAGTAAATTTTGGAGAGTTCATAAGCCTGATTAGTAATTTTTGAAGTTGACGTCCTTCATTTATAGAAAAAACTTTATATCCTTCATCAGTAAAATTGCAAGATCTCATATCCTTATTTGTCACTTTTTCTAAAAGAATCAAAAATGAAAAAGGAAAAAAAAGAGAAAAGTACCAATGGTCACATTTTTACCTATAAGTGGGTGGATGAGTTGGTAGGAGATTCTTTCAATTTAATAAGAGATCTTAATTTTAAGTTTTGAAAATGTAGTTCTGTTAAAACTCGTGAAGGAGAGTTTTAGCATTCATTAAATTCTATCCGACTCGAATCTGAATTAATCGATGATCCAGTAGATTTCCGAATGCCAAATGGTCCAAACAAAAAAAAAAACCCATGGTCACATTTTTTAAACCTTCTCCTCTTTAAATTCCCAAATTTCAAATGCATGGTTAAAACGCTAATTAAATCATACTTCAAACCCTTAATACAAACGCAAAACCGAAGAAAGAACCAGACCCAAGAATGTTTATACTGAGCGAGAAAGATTCAAAGCTTATCCAGAAGATGATAATGAAGTAGAGAAGGAAGAAGAAGCAGAATCGGATTACAGAGAGAGTAAGGGATCCAACTCCTTTCGCGGTTCAGATACTGACTTGAGTTACGAATTTCGCGAAAACGGTCATGGCAATCTCAAAACACTTCAACAAGAAAAAATCAGTGACACTACTATTAGCATCAAATATGCAAGAATTTTATCAGTTTCTGTTGAAATAATTATTTTTCAATTATTTGCACTACTAATAATGTGAGTATTGAGAATAAGCAAAGAACCAAAAGAGATATATATTAAAAAGCACAAATAACAATATAACATATAACATATAACCTTACTTTCTTGAAATTCTTAATTAGTTTTATTTTATTGGGGTAATTTCAAGTTTTGGCCTTTTCTACTTTGTCAAAAAGGAAATTTCAAAGCTCTCATCTCCTTTTCCTTTATAACACAGTATCTGTACATCTACCCGGACTAGTGTGCGAATTGCTACATACCGAGTGAATCTCCACCGCAGGCACTGGAATTGTCTTATGTACTAAAACGCAAAGAAAAGGTTCTTTCTATTTAATTTGATAGTTTAAGTTCAAATTGATGTTGACAAAAAGGAAATCAATATATAAATGAATGCCAATACTAGACTATGAATGCAAATTTGTTTTTGGAGAGAGAATAGGAAATGCTAAATTTTGAATTAGCCCACAAAAGAATTACAAAATCATTAGCATTGGCATCTAGGAATGGCTTGTGGCCAATTTACTATATATCTAATGTTGTTGAGCGTGTAAGCCCGAGCAGCTTAGTGTTAAACTAAGGATGGGAATTGGGCTATCACTTTCGTGGATGGCGATGGTAATCTCAGCAACTGTTGAGAGTATCAAACGAGGGAAAGTTATCCAAGAAGGCAACTCCATGGATATGTCTGCAATGTGGCTTTTACCACAGTATTGCTTGCTTGGCTCAGTTGAAGCTTTTACTACAACAGAGTTCTTTTATACTGAACTCCCAAGAAGCATGTCTAGTATTGTTACTGCTCTGTTGTTGATAGGTATTCTTGTGACCAATTGGCTATCTGGTGTTGTATTGAATGTTGTTTCTGACCTAACTTCAAGAGGGATGGGTGGAAGGAGATCTGGATTTAAAATAACCTGATTAAAGATATCTTGACTAGTACTTTTGGGTTTTTATTATAATGAGCTTCATCAATGAGAGAACCCAATAGTAATAGTCAAAATAACCTTTGTTTATGTTATTCTAAAGCCAACTCTCTTTCCCCCTCTTGAGGTCAATCAGGTTGATCAGACAATCATTACAACACTGGATAACAAGTTAGTCACAACCATTCCTAGCAAAAGAGAAACAACAATACTTGACATGGTTCTTGGGAGCTCGGTATAAAAGAACTCTGCTTGCTTATTGTAGTAAAAGCTTCAACTAAACCAATTAAGCCAAGCAAACAATATTGGAGCAAAAGCCACATTGAAGACATGTTCATGAAGTTGTCTCACTGGGATAACTTTCCTTCATCTAACACTCTAAACAATTATTGAAATTACCACTGCCATCCACAAAAGTAATAACCTAATCCCCTTCCTTAATTTAACACTAAGCTGCACTGGTCTACATTCAAAAAGATACAAAGGGATATCCCAAAAACACATTAGCACCCAAAATGAAACATTACAGAACAAGACTAAGCAACGGCCAAAAAAACCCAACCCTGTATGTGAAAGCTGTGGACCTCGAATCAGCAGCAAGTAGTATAGCTCTCTGAAAAATATAGAAATAAACCGATCAATAACTATAAAGTTGCCTACATACTTTTTCATTACCAATGCAAATTAATGCCACTCCAGGCATACTGTATTCATTCTTACCAGATAAACAGATGAGATGATCTAATCATCCAAAGCCGAAGGTGTGGATCGATGGTGGTCGTCCTCATAAATGGTCAGCACAGTGGTTACGTATCTGATCCGATGAACCCTTTTGTAAAGGTTTCAACTTTCTGATAGATGAGATTCAGATCTGAGATTGTAGATCATGGATAAGGGAAAATGAGAGGGTTTTTGTTAGTTTGGTTTGGTGAGAGAGAAAGTAGACGGATGGAGATAGGAAGAGTGAATGCAATGGGTGTGCAGAGAGTGTAGAAACTAAAGAATTGAAAGAAAATAATTGAATTGAAGCAATATCTATATTTCTCTCTACGCAACACATGGTTTATATAGAGGTTAGTTGATTAGGTTTAGCCTACATACAAGGAAACAGAAAGTCTAAGTATAAACAAGATGGAATATGTCAAAATGATCAATTGTATCCTTGTCAACAGGCTTGATTTTCTCTGTGACTTATTCTTCCGTGATGTTCTCCTTTGGTGATCTGCGAAATGGAGAAAGCTGGGGTTTATATAATTAAACTTGGAAATCATTACTGACTCCCCTACCAAATTAATAATTGAGCTATAAATTAGTAATTTAGAAGCAGCTCGTGATCCAATCACAAATAATTATTGACTATTGCGTAAAGAATGAAAGTTTTTGTCTTCAATCTCCATGTTCATTTCCAAGTTTGTAGTTGTAATTTAGAAGAAGTATTTTTCATCAGATTGGACTGACGTGCTTCATGCTTTTCCCTTTTTTTTATTTGGTTAAAATCTCAATTTGGTCCCTTCACTTTGGTAAAAAATCCTTTTACAGTCCCTATACTTAAAAATATCATTTTGATCCCTAAAGTTTGAAATCTGTCCCTCGTTTTGACCTCTCAATTATTTTTCATACACATGACACGGTAGCTAAATAAATTTCAAAGTAAAAATAACCCCCTTTTTGATTCTTCTACTTTAAAGAAACTCATTTTGAGTCCCTCTACATAAAAAAAAAAAAGAAAAAAAGAAAAACCTTTTTTATTCTATCTATTTTGGGATTTCCATTAAAATATCATGCCACAAGATAAAACTTAACAAAGGCCATTGGATATTTATTGGAGATTTTTTTCAAGTCTAGTGGATATTTATTTGAGAATTTTAAGACAAATTTTGTTATTACATGAGTTATATAGGCATCACCATCCTTATTCTGTTAACATCCCCAAGGATATGATTCAATTAGTTAGGAGTTTGAAATTTTAAATTAGAAATTTTAAGTTCGAATCTTAAATCAAATGAGGGAGGGATTTAAAAAAAAGGAAATGTTATATTTTCTTGTATAATCCATTATTAGATGGTAAAAAAAAAAAAAAATCCTTACTCAGTTAATGATTGCTTACCATTTAAAAAAAGAAAATTTTAAAATTAGTTTAATATGAAAATACAAAAAATCTCTTATTGGTTTTGCATTGATATTTTTTAATTTTATTATCCATTTATCCTTGGTATGAACTGCGTCCAACCTAGAATTATTAAGCCAAACTTAGGCACAATGGAACCAGCCATGAATTGAATCAAAAAGGGCCAAAGACAGATAATTTCTATATAAATACTTTAATTAAAAAGATTGATTTTCTAAAAAGTTAAGCCACGTTAGCAGTCGTCTGTTCTTTTAATGGAATGAACATTTAAAAAAAAAAGGTTCAAGGACATTTGGGTACCAAGATAAGAGTATATTATGTGTGATTGAAAACTTTTATTAGAAGTTTTGTTAGGGAAAATTTGTGTTAGAAGATCTAATTCTGAGAATTTGGAGCTTAATTTTTAGGGCTTCTAAGTAAGTTTTAAGATAGCTTATAAACTCTTTAAATGTTAAAAAATAAAAGTTTTTCATCTAACAAATTAATGGTCATCATTTTTTTAAACTTCTCCAAATTACCAAATTCCAAATGCATTCTTAAAACCCTAATTTAATCACACTTCAATTCCCTTAATACTTACCTAAACCGAAGCAAGAACCAAAACCAATGATGGCTATATTGAGCAAGAAAGATTCAAAGCTTATCTAGAAGATGATAATGAAATAGAGGAGGAGAAAGAAGAAGAATCAGATTCTAAAGAGAGTGAGGGATCTAATTTTAATTGCGATTTCAAATAGAAACTTAAATTACAAATTTCTTGAAAACAGTCAGGGTAGTCTCAATACCCTCCAACTAGAGAAAATAAGTGACAGTGTTAGTATCAAATACAGAAGAATTCTATCAATTTCTATTCTTGGGAGTTTGTAGCATATATGATATATATGATATATATATATATATATATATCTATGATGAATAAGCAATGCTGATATAGGATTTTTTGGATTATTTTTCTTCGTTGTAATATCCACTATTAGTAATGTGAGTCTTGAGAATATCAACAAACAAAAGAGATATTAAAAAGCTCAAAGAATGATAAAAAGGTATAACCTTTCTTGAAATTTTTAGTTTCATTTGATCGAGGTATTTTTGGCTTTTACCTTCTGTATTTTAACATCAAAAGAAATTAAAAAGTTATTAGCTCCTTTTCCTTAGTTGACATATATAGTATCTGTACATTCCGCTAGACTAGTGTACAAATTACTACGTGCGCATAGGTACCAAGCAAATCTCCAACCAAGGCGAGGACGTTAGAGTTGCCTTATCTACTAAAATGCCAGGAAATACTTCTTTTCTATTTAATCTGATAGTTAAGTTGAATTTGAAGTTGACAAAAAGAAATCAATAAATAATGCCAATATTGGACTGAATGCAAATTGGATTTTGAAGAAAGAATAGGAAAATATTAAATTCTGAATTTAGCCCGCGAGGAATTACAATCATTAGCACTGATATCTAGGAATGGCTCGTGGCCAATTTGCTATCTAATGTTGTTGAGAGTCTAAACCATGCCAGTGCAACTTGGTGTTAGACTAAGGATGGGAATTGGGCTATTACTTTCTTGGATGGCAATGGTAACAATTGTTGAGAGCATTAGACGAAGGAAAGCTATCCAAGACGACAATTTCATGGACATGTCTGCAATGTGGCTTCGGCCGCAGTACTGCTTACTTGGCCTAGCTGAAGCTTTTACTACAACAAGGCAAACAAAGTTCTTATATACTTTAGCTCCCAAAAGCATGTCAAGTATTGCTACTACTCTGTTGTTGCTAGGAATTGTTGTGACCACTTGGCTATCCGATGTTGTTGTGAACGGTATCTGACATAACTTCAAGATGAGGAAACAAATTTGGATTTCAAATAACATGAATAAAGGTCATTTTGACTATTACTTTTGGGTTTTTACTATAATGAACTTCATCAATGAGAGAACCCAATAGTAATAGTCAAAATAACCTTTGTTTATGTTATTCTAAACCCAACTCTCTTTCTCCCTCTTGACTCTTGAGATAAGGTCAGTCACAACTCTCATTACAACACTGGATAGCAAGTTGGCCACAGCTATTCCTAACAACAGAGGAACATCAATACTTGGCATGGTTCTTGGGAGCTGAAAATAAAAGAACTTGGTTTGCTTTATTGTACTAAAAGCTTTAGCTAAGCCAACTAAACAGTACTGTGGCAGAAGCCACATTAAAGACATGCACATGAAGTTGCCTTCTTGGATAACCTTCCTTCGTCTAATACTCTAAACAATAGCTGAACATTTCCATCCGCGCAAGTAATAACCTAATCCCCACCTTTAGTTTAACACCAACCTGCATTGGTTTACATTTAGAAAGATACAAAGGGGTATGCCAAAAACACATTAGCACCCAAAATGCTACATTACATAACAAGACTAAGGAAATACGATACCCAATCCACCTTGTCATCTACAACTTTAGATTCAATCAGATCCAACTCCCTTAACTGTCTGAAAAACATAAAAATAAACCAATCAGTATCTATAAAGTTCCTTGCATACTTTGTTTCAATACCAACTGCAATTTAATACAATTTCAAGCATGCCGTTGATTATTACCAGACATATGACATGATCTAATTATTCAAATATATACAGACCACAGAGAGACTAAAAGTTTTCCATAACCCTTCAACACAGAAATCATTATCAAAAAATCTCTCAGACAAAGTCATAAGATAGAATCAGCCATTCTTTAAGACATAGTCTAAAACAGTAAAACTCCATATTCTTATAAGCAAAAGTTTTGAAAACTGAAGAGCTATATACCTGCACTTGCTGACAAAAACAGAAAGCATGCTAGTTCCAAACACATCACAACATCAGAAATTTGGTCAATACAGCCGTTACGTATCTTATCCAATGAACACTTTTGAAAGGTTTCAACTTTGTGATTGATGAGATTGAGATTTGCGATTGTAGATCATGGTTAACGGGAAACGAGTGAGGGTTTTGTAGGTTTGGTTTGGTGAGAAAGAAAGTGGAGGGAAGGAGATGTGAAGAGTGAATGGAATGGGTGTACAGAGGGTGGAAAAATAATTGAAGGGAAGGAATATATTTTTCTCTACACAACACCTTGCTTATATACAGGTTAGTAACTGAGGTTTAGCCTACATACAAGGAAATACAAAGTCTAAGTATATACAAGATGGAATCTGTTAAAATGATCAATTGTATCCCTATCAAACAGGCTTGATTTTCTCTTTGACTTATTCTCTCCGTGATGTTCGTCTATAGTGATCTGCGAAATTGAGAAAGATGGGGTTTATAAAAAAACTTAAAAATTATTATCATATCACTTAGCAGATAACTAACTAATAAATTTAGTAATTTAGAATAAGTATTATGGTAGTAAATTAGAAGAGGCACCGTTTTGTTCATTGGATTTGATTCATGACGCGTGGTTCATGCTTTTCGCAATTTCCATTTTCTTTTTCACTTATTGGTACATGGAGTTGTGCTTCATGCTAAATTAACAATTAAAGATTTAGGAAGTTAATAAATATAATGTTATTAAGGAACCCATTGAGCGTATAATCACAAAGCACAAACATTAACATATATGTCATCATTTATTCTTGAGGTCATCATGTTATTTATTTTATTTTTATTTATTTTTATATTGGGTTGCGTATCAAAGAGCAACCTCTCCTTTCTTTTTTAAATTTAATTTAAGTTTACAATCAAATTTAAAACCTTTTAAGTGAATTAATGTTGAATTAATTAGGTCACTTGCTTCACATTAATTATTAATATCAAGATTTGTATTGTATTTTAATACGAGATGATATTCTTTAATTTATTTATGAGTTTGTCTAACATGTGCTTTAGAGATACAGATCAAAACTCATTAATTAAGGTATTTTTAATTAATTTTATATAAA